GATTCAAGTGGTACCAGCAAATCCTTGCGTGTTGCTGGAGCTGCAGGTTGTGCCAAGTCTCGACTTGGTATGTTCCACACCGAAGAAGTTGTCATCAATGATGTGTCCATGAGTGCACGCAACTATCTAACAAGAACAGCAACTCAAGAAGAGATTACAAAGGTGAGTAAAATAGAATGGTACCTTTTGGACCCTAGTATCTGTTAACTCGTGACACTTTTTGACTCCAGCACCCCATTTATACAGTTCTTGACTCCAGCTTCCCTTTACTATACTTTCCTTGACTCCAGCACCCCATTTATACAGTTCTTGACTCCAGCTTCTCTTTACTATACTTTCCTTGACTCCAGCACCCCATTACTATACACTCCTTGACTCCAGCTCCCCATTACTATACACTCCTTGACTCCAGCTCCCCATTACTATACACTCCTTGACTCCAGCTCCCCATTACTATACCTGTCTCTTATACACATCTTTTCTCGACGTTTCAGATGATTTGCAGCCTTTTATTTTTTCGAACCTGGTCCGCCGGACCGGTCCGGGTCCGGGTTTTAGTCACTCGGTCCGGGTCCGGCGGACCGGTCCGGGTCCGGGTTTTAGTCAGTACCTATTTCAAATGAAAATTGTCACGTAAAGATAGGTTGCTTGATTTTCTCACTTAGTCTTAGTCGCTACTAAGTAGTAAAGTACTAGTAGGTAGGTAGCCTACTTGTTTTAGCAAGCTGTAGCATAGTAACAAACCACAGATTTTTTTTTTAGAATTAGTTGATTTTTTAATTTCCTCATTTACTCAAGTCTCAAGATATAAAATAATTTATTATGAACAATAACGCTGGTACCGTAAAATGGGGTAACTGTAACTTAGACCACTTTTTTTATAAATGATGCCATTTTTTTACTAGCTAAATTAAATTTAAATTGAAACATGCAAAATACAGGTCTATAGCCTACTCTAGCTTCACTCACCATAAATTGCTGGCTCCTGCGTCCTGCCTCTCATAGTCTTTATGCAATTTCAAAAAAAGTGATGGTCTTTGTTATCCCAGCTCTTGGGGTAACTTAGACTGGGTGGTAAAATCAATTATTCCCGTCAGGGCTGACATTAGGTGGTCTAAGTTACCCCATTTGGGGGCGGCGCCCCCCATTTGCAAACTATGACACTTTCCAAAAATTTGTCATTTGCATATGTAACTAGAAGAGTTCTACTACAATGCATCAAAACCTGGAGTTATTTAACCGAAAAATAAAAAAATTGGAGGGGGTACTCTGACAGGCTTTAAATAATAGTTTTTTTTTCGTGGGTCACATTTTTAATTTTTTAACCTATTAGATATGCAAACTTTTTAAATCTTTCTATTGTGTTATGTAGCCTCAGTATTAGGCCTTTAATACCCATTGACAAAATTTTTCCATGTCAAATAGTTTTTGAGTTGTGTGGGTTTTTGTTGAAAAAACTAAAAGTGGTCTAAGTTATCCCGCCGGTCTAAGTTACCCCATTTTCCGATTTACGGTAACCTGGTATCCAACTAATCACTAATGAACTATCCATGATACCTGTACTTTATGCTTATGGGTCTTAGCTAGCCTATTCAGTTAGCCTAGCGGCCCTAGCCTAGCTAGAGTCCCCTAGGCGCTAGCCTGCTGCCTACCTATTGGTCTAGTAGTACTTGAAAGTTATTGGACTTCAAAATTTGTTCTCTGACTGTTTGACAGTAATTGACACTATGAATTTTACTGGAGTAAACAAGTATCAAGTATGTTGCCACTCTTTAGAAAAATGAATATTTTTATTCATGTGTTGTTTTTTCCTTGCTCTCAGCCTGGCAGCCTGGCAGGTGGCAGCCAGTGAGCCAGCTCAGGGTGACAGGGTCCAGTCACCCTGAATTAGGCATAGAATCATAGTGCCAAACCACAGATTTTTTAGAATCAGTTATTTTAAATTTCCTCTTCAACACAAAATTTAAGCCAATTTCTAATGCAAAATGCATGTTAATGCTAGTATCTATGACTATGAGGACAGAGGACCATGATAGTATACTGGGGGTGGGGAACTGGGCTATTGGTCTACTTATAGGAATCAGAAACAAACTTGAGGATGGGTCTAAAAAAGTCTCTGCTTTGGCACAATGGGCATTTAGGAACAACAACTAGGGTAAATGTGGTATATTCCGACACTTTGAGGATGTAGCAAAAAATGAATGGCATTAAAAAAATCACCGTACAAGCAACTCGAGACTCGAGTTCTGTTTACTTTACGTCACTCTCCAAACACCACACTACGTACCAGCAACAATGAAACGTCACAAAATGTTGCCATATTCATTTAAAAGCATTACAATGCAAATCTACCAAATCCATATATTCTAACACTTTGTGTGACTAAATTTGGCATTTTGTGAGACTCATTCCGGCCGTGCTTCAAACTCTACTAATTCGTAATTCCAACACTCTTGTGTTCAAATTCCGATTGCTGTGTGAGCTGTATTGGATAATTGGAATACAACACAGCTTGGAATTAGAACACTATTGAATATTGAACACTACTTATTTAGGCTTTTAATTAAGAGCTATTAAGCTTTTAATTAAAAAAATTTTAATTTTTGCACACTGCTTGGAACGAGCTGTGTTTGTCTAATAGACTAATTCCAAGCTGTGTTGGAATTAGTTTTTATGTGTCTATAAGACTATAACTGTCTCTTAACTTAATCATCTATTAATTTATTTGTGACTTGAAATCAGCAAATACAAGTATACTTAAAGGATTCCTAATATATTCACAGACTTATTTAAAAGACTCAAACCATAATATTCTTTCTACACAAATAGTTTATCACTATTTGGTAGAGCAAGGTCAACTATCAACTTTGACACATTTTTCGATGTTCTCGCTGGGTGACGCGCACCATCTCTCTTCGGATCTCAACATTTTCCCCCCAGATGGCCCAGACCTAGTGTTTTGGCAATAGTATGGTGCGCAAGAGTATGACGTCACTATTTCAACCAACAACGAATGCGTGGAAGTAAGAAAAAGCTTAATATGAAGGAAAAAAGTCGAGAAATGTGGGAATTACCCACTATGTTGGAATATACCGCATTTACCCTAACCGTAACTGAAGACGTTTTTGTCTTGTTCATGGGTGGCACATGTCCAATTTTCCACTTTGGCTAGGGAGTAGCAATCTTGTATTCTATTTCTAATTCTTCCATGCTTTTCTTCAAATTATCTTACACTTGAGATCATTTACTCATACTTGTGACTTGTCTTCTCTAAACTCTCAGACTCGCAGTCTCACATAATCCTATACAGGGCCTCTATGTTTCATAGTACTACTCGTAGATGCAAGTTGGAATAGGTAGTCTTGATTTTGAGTGCTCTAACAATATTAAAGTGAATTCATATTTTCAATTTAAAATTGGTATCTATACTTTGAATCGTCAAATTATTTCTGACCTACAGTAGAGTTGGCTTCCACATGGCATGGATACTTTATACTTTTGCAACTGTTTTTTGGTTTCTATTGTTGCATGGACATAATTTTTTGTCTCATTTGTTAAAATCTCATTTACACATCCTCATAAATTCAGGGATTTAACTTTTCAGGATAAACTTTTAAAGTTCACTATGATCTGAATTCTGAAGTAAAAAGGTATTCATATGATCAATTATCCAAATGGAGTCTCTCCATCAATGTTATTAGTTTTATGTACTGAATTGTTTCATAAATGATAAATACAATATAGAAGAAATGGCAGAAGTGAAAAATGTTGAAGTTTCAGCTCATCAGCAAATTACTGCTGCCTGTTGTGGTGCTTTCATCACCTCCATATTCAGTGAGTTACGTACAATCAATATTCAATAAGTATATAGAACAAATAGAGTTACCATATTGCTATTATAACCCAGAGTCTTTGTAACTTCTCAGCTTGATTCCAGAAACATAAGTTATAAGTTAGCTCAATGGAGGTAAATTAACAATGAACTACTATCTGACAAATTATATTACCAATAAGCAAATCTAGAAATGAGTATATTTGATTCAATAAAATACAAAAATGTTTCAGCATTTATGTCACCTCTTTAAAAATGTCTAAAACTGACAAAGAATTGCACAAGTGAATTTGTTTGTTCATTTAGTGGCATGTGTCTTTGACCACTGTTGACCCCAGTGCATTAGACTCCATGTCCAAGTTCTTACTTCAAATTGGTACAATAATGTGTGATCTTATGTATCTTTTTTATGGCGAGGCAATGAATATATATATATACTGTACCTAATGAATGAACTTGCTTGTGCACTGTTCAGTGACACCCCTGGATGTTGTGAAGGTGCGGTTACAAGCTCAGCAGAAAGAGCTGCTCAACAGACGTTGCTTTCTTTATTGCAATGGATTAATGGATCACATTTGTTCCTGTCACCCTTCTCCCTCTCACACACAGAAGCAATGGTACTCACGTGCACTGCCAGGGCCCATAAATGGGACAATGGTATGTTCTACTGTCACCCTTACTACCTTCTGCTGACAGTTTTAATTAGTCTTATTTTGTATCCTTTGCCATATATTCAAGCATGCTACATAATTTGCAATAATTTTTAACTTGAAAGTAATAAAACAAAAAGAAATTTGTTCCTTGCTGTATTTTGATGAATCCATACATGATTTTGTCAAAAATGTTCTGAATTATATGTATTAACTGATTACATTTGAGCAGGATGGACTCATCAAAATTAGTCGCCATGAAGGATTATCATCATTATGGTCAGGCCTACCAGCCACTCTGGTAGTTGCTGTGCCCAACACAGTTCTGTACTTCACAACATATGAGCAGGTATGAGTGGGGAGCTTGTTATTTGCACTAAGCCACACTAATAGTGTTCTCTTAAGGTCCACTGTTTTTTGTTAAATTACCACAACATCTCATTCCTCTCGAGTTTTATTTTCCCTGAATGTTTTAAATTGCAGCATTTCTGTAGAATAGGCATTATATTGTTTTATTCAAATGATAGAAATGCTTAGAAAAAGAACTGGGGCAAATCATTCAAATTTTCCTGCTGATAACTCTGAGTTAATGAATAATAACAATAAATTATGATTTTCATCTTTTAAACTTTTTTTATGTGGATTTGATTTTCTTGCAATGCAAGTCCAAAGGAATGCTGCTATCATATTTGTTTTTATGATTTGATTGGCTGCAGTCTGTCCTAAAACATACAGTTCAATCCGCCATTACAGACTTATATTTATATCATCAAATTACAGAATAAAAATCTTCACCTTTTTACAACACTTCTCTTTAACTTCACTTCTTGTCTGTCTGTTTGTCTGTCTGTCTGCTACAAATCTTGTAATCAAAATTTAATACACTTCTACTTATCCTATCGATCTGAAATTTTGCCAACTTGTGTAAAGTTGGAGACAATGCATGAATCAAATGTCAAATATTAAAAAAATTTTATATATATTTAAAAAATTGAAAAGGTAATTTTTTTAATTTTCGAAAATTAGATGAGAAATTCATTGTACATCTGTAAGATTGGAGATACTGGATTCTTTGGAAGTGTTGTCTTTAAAAAGTAATTTTTAAACGCATATTATTTCAGTTAGTCTTTGCTGTTAAATAACAGGCATAATAAACTTAAAAATTTGTTTCACTACATATCTTTTATTTTTTTTTATCTCAAACTAAACCCTGATATCAATTCAGGGCTCAAGTTAAATCTGATTGTTTATGTCAGTTGTTTCCAAACTTTTGCAGGCTGATGCTCACTTGGGCCCCCTTTGAATTCCTAGTGCCCCCCACAGACACATAATGTTCACATAGCACCCCCCACAGACAAACGAGAAACCCAGATTTTGAATATTTTTAAAAATTTATGCTAGACACCCAGGAGCTGTTCAAAAAACCCAGATCTGGGTGGAAAAACCTATTGCTGGGAGCCGTGTGCTGCACATGTTGTGTACAAATGTCAAATAATCAAACAAACGTTCAAACTTCTCACTTCGACTTCGGACTGCCGCCCCCTTCCAAACCTTCTTCCTTACCACCCCCTTCTCCCTCATCGCCCCCTTCTTCCTCACCGCCCCCCATATCTTTCTACCGTCCTCATTGGGAACCACTGGTCTATGTCTATCACAATATAGCTCATCAAGCTTTCTTGCTTGTACCAGGTGCGATTCTTGCTGAAGTACAAGATGAACTGCGACCAGTGGTGGACAGCTGGTGCTGCTGGTGGAGTGGCCAGGGTTTGGTCAGTGACAGTGTGCTCCCCATTTGAGCTCGTCAGAACCAAACTTCAGGCTGCAAAAATTTCATATGCTGGTTAGTCAACATTACTGTAAAACGGGGTGACTTGGACCAGTTTGACTAGGACGTGGTGCTCAATGGACCAGTTTGACTTTGCCGCTTACTGTTTGTGATACAAATAGTCACATAATAAATATCTAAAATATATCTCTTTGTTGCATTTGTATGTTATCATATGGTACTTTAAGAGCCATCAATACAATTTTTCCTAAGTCAAGAACTCTTTTAGTAATAAGGTTATCTTTTTTTGTGTCAAAACGGTCCTGATCACCCCGATTTACGGTACTAACTTCACAATCTGGCAAGTCAATGCTTTCCCACAATTTTTATTGGACTTCTGATTGTGACTAGTTAATTACTTAGTAGTTGAGTGGGACTGCTAAGCTTATCAATATTATCTTATACCGATTGATATTATCCGAAAGTGATTTAAAAGATATAAGAGGAATGTGTATTATCACTTTTGGATTTTTGTGTGGCAGATTTACTGAGAAGCATGAAGCAAGAGCTGCGCAGAGAAGGCGTGCTATCGCTTTTCAGAGGTTGGGACGCTACAGTGCTGAGGGATGTGCCGTTTTCCAGTAAGTGTCACTTGAACAGCCTCTTTTCATAAATAAATCAGAGGTCTTTTAAAGTCATGAGAGTAAATTAATGTAAATAGGAGTCACCCTTTGGTTGTTGCAGTTTATAAGGATGAGACCTGCTGCAAAGAGTGATGATCTGTAGCCTCTGCTTTAAGCATGTACATAAAATTAACCTTCCGGTTCCATGTTTGTACTTTTCATGCTAGCCAGTAAAAGGAAATGAGATTAATGAATTGACTTAGGATCTATTTGCTAGAATGTGGAAAATATTTACCCTAATTCCCTTATTTTAATTTTTTAATCCTTAACTTTAAACAATCCACGTAAATGCAGCAAGAAGAAGCGAGGGGATGATTGTACATTCACACGCTTCTTCTGTATGTCTTATCAAATCTTTCAAAATGAAAGAAAAACTGTCACAGCATTTACTAAATAAGTTATTATATTTCAAGTCAATGGTACAAATGAGAAAATTTTGCTATCAAGTAAATAAAATTATCTTGATATTTCTCCTTCTTTTTCATCATTATAGTTACAACACATTTTTTTGTTTATAATTACTCGTTTAATAAATTGCTGTATCTGATGCTAGTTGCACTTCACTGTAGTAGAGAGTGAAAAAAATTTAAAATTCTTCATGTTTTGACCTAGTGCAGTAGAAATCAAACTCACAAACTGAGAATGACTGGATGCAAGTTGAATAATTTTTCAACTAGTACCTATATTAAAAAATCAAAATTATACCAAAAAGTCTGAAGCAGCCCCTAATTGATAAAGTGGCTTGATCAAAAGCATGAGTCACCCAATTGATACGCGCTTCAATCAACCTCAATCAGGTCTTAAATATTTTGATCGAAACCATCCTGTCACCGGAATGGGTTCAGTGCACACTTACTGCTCCTGGAGGCGAGACCCTCCATAGATGACTTCTCATCAAAAGACCGAAGACAATGCAACAAAATTGACAAAGACAATAAGGAATGACTCCTGCGAGTTCTCCAAGACTTCTATGGCCGGTCACCGGCTAAATAAAAGCCTCAGTGAATAGAGTTTATTACCTGTCCACTATATGTACCTACTATACTCGTCATTGGTTTTGAGAACATAGATTTTGGCTTTCAATAGCTTCACAGTAAAAATCAGGTTTCAGCATTTCCAACGCTCCCACGATTTTCTCTAAAGCGTCAGTTTGCTTTATTTCTGATAAAATAATCCTTCCAGTTTCTATAATTTGGAATGTTGATGTCTCCCCTATATCAGAGTGATCAGGAAGTTTGCATTCAGTAGAAGTAGATGCCATGGTGTTTACCTATTGACTGACGCAATGCTTGATGGCAATAGCTCTTGACAATAAATTCTCTTCTTTAACCACTTGAGTCATTCAAATTGTTTATTAATTACCGTCAAGCGTCAAATGGGTCCCTGCACAGTCAATCGTGCTCAAGTCAATTGGATAACTCATGATTCTGATAAAGCCGCTTGATCGTTTAGGGGCTCCTTTAATTGTTAAAAGTGATCAATCTCAACCCCTGGGGGTCGAGGAGAAAACTCAAGGAGTTGATAAATTTGTTAGGCATGAAGAGGGCAGTTAGGGAGTATAAGAAGAATTATATTTTTTAAAAATTTATTTCAAATGCATTCTTTGAACAAAAATTTTAATTGTGCTAAATTTTATTCTACTATATAATAATTTAATATTAGTTCATATCTATTGTGATTGCCTCCTTTTCTTGATACGTTCATATGTCTTCAAGAATTTTATAGGTTACAAGAAAAAATTTGTTAGATTCATAACGTTTTACTTCAATTTTGACAATGGAAATGCTTCAATATGTGTTTCTCTTTTTGTATGTTTGCATCGAGGAGGTTAATTCAAGCAAATTATCCTATGAGATAGCTGACAGGTAACTAAGTTTACCGAGTTCTGGTCTAAATTCTTCAAAATATTTTTTAAATAGTTAGTATTGCTGCTTAATTTAGCTGCTTGATCACTCACAATACCCATGTAACAAAAATCATTCCCTGCCAGTGCTGTACTGGGCGACCTACGACAACCTCAAGAAAGCCGCGCACCAACAAGAGCAGCCTGCTGTGCCCTTCACCCTTCTTGCTGGCTCTATTGCTGGAGGGGTCAGTTTCCATGGACTCTAATTATTATTATTTACCGCTATGAATTATTTTTAACTAGTTAAAATTTTATTAATTTTTTAGGTTTTCTAATTTATTTTCAATGTGCCCAGATGAATAATCTTTAACTCTTGAACTCAGGGCAGCCTCATTTTTACTAGATACGTTTTCGGTAAAAATACAATACTGTATACGGAGATAATATTTCTTCTCAATGCATGTACAATTTAGAGATGCTTTCATGTTTCATCTCACATCATTGGAAATTTTTTCCTGGGGATGTTCTTACATGTACGTGGTTGTGTACTATTGAGCTTGTCACTTTTATTAAGAAAATTTCATAAACAACAGAAGGTAACTGGATAAAGCTATCATGGCCCTGACTAGGCGTTTATCACATGCAGCAATGTTGTCATTTTATTGAAACGAATTAAAATTCAGATTCGTGGGCTTAACAGTTTTCATATTCATATTAAATATTTTTTCTGTAAACTTGGAAATATTCGGTATTTATGATATTTTGCATTTTGCTTTGCAGGTAGCTGCTGCCATCACCCTGCCATTTGACGTAGTCAAGACACACAGACAAATAGAAATCGGTGAGCAGGAGTTGTTTCCAGGTCAGAACCGTCAGGCGGGCTTTATACATCACTAGGCACGGTTTGTTTTCTTCATCGTTGATCCAGTCATTCCTATTCCCTATATGTTGCTGTCTTAGTATGATTATTCATGTAAATCGCTTGTTTGTTAGTATCGTTTATTATCACGATGTGCATTAAAACAACTCCAATTTTATACCCTTTTGTCACCCGCTTTGCCACCCTTGCTTACGGTTGCGTCCTGCGTCGGTGTGAATGCTTGATGGATCGTGCGATGATATACCTAGAGTCCGGAGGCTGAGTGTGCTCATCGCTAAACGCTATTTGCGTGAACAAAGTATATATACGTTTCATCAGTGTGTATTCATCCGTTTTTAGCTAATATATAACAAGGGCAATTGAATTTACAATTGTGGATATTACTGTCCCCTATTTAATTGTTATTGCATCAGTGCGTCATTTGATTTTCGTTTCCAAATTCATTTGCCCATGAATAGATTCAAGTTATTTCTATTTGCTACATTTTCCTGGTCACTTCTAATTTGCATTAGTGTCATGTGTTTGAACTTAGTCAGAAATTAGAATTTTTGACAGTAATTGAACTAATTCTTTATATATCAATTTTTATACAGCAATATAAAATGATTCAGTTGTTCGAATTTGCGTTGGTGTGTTTTCATGGTACAATACAATTTTCATGGCAGCCTCAGGATCAGATGGAAGAAGAGCGTCAAGGTCAACACTGCAGCATCTGCGTTCTATCTACCAGCAGCAGGGCGTGCCGGGGCTCTTCTCGGGGCTGTCACCCCGACTTGTTAAAGTCATGCCTGCTTGTGCCATCATGATATCTACTTACGAGTACATCAAGAGCCATGCCAGATAGTTTATGCTCTCAAATATAGTTATTTTCTATGTGAATGATTGGGATTTCTGGCACTATCGTTTTGACTCGTACTTGCCTAAGACGTAACGTCAAGAGTCATACGAGATGGTTTATGCCTTCAAATATAGTTATTTTTTATGTTAATGATGGTTGAAGATTGTAAGTGATGTCATTATCCTTTTGACTTGTGCATGCTTGACGCGTAATATCATGTACTGTTAGGAGTGTAGTCTCACTGTTCGTAAATTTTGCGCGCAAAAAAGTGATAATTCCATACTTGGCATTATGTTTCTGAAACGTAAACTGTGCTGTCAAGCTATCGTAAAATTTGTTGTATGTATTATTATGCCTATGGTCCTAATTACGTAGTGCATGTTTCGATTCTGTCGTTTAACTCGTGCAATTATTAATTATTTTGTCCTGGCTACTAAAGGTCAGAAGAAAGAAGACAGCGAACTTAGAAAGTTAAATTTTTCCTTGTTGAGTGTTGAGCACCTTCGTGATCTTGAATTGCAACCGTGAATGTTCTGTAATAATTATTGTTGGGTAGTTTCTTCACTTGGTAATTTACACGAAGCATATGTAAAGGGAAGTATACAATTCACACGAATTTAATCGTATTAAAATCATCCTTGGTATAAAGGGAGTGACTTCACACCTGCTCATGTTCCGTCTCCTGTGTCTGCGGCGACGGTGGAAATGATTTCCGTGTTCGGGAAGCTGGGGTTTTCTAATTTAATTCGGAGAAACTGTTCGAATTCCTTTGAGACTTCTTCATTAATCATGCTTAGTAAAATTGCAGTATGAAAGATACCTAACTGACCAGCTCAGAAGATCGCCAATGGTTTAAAATTGTGAACGGGAACGGTCTAGGGACGAACAATAAGGTTGTTATTCAGGCCTGCTAAGTGGGCAACACACGAAGACGGCAAGCAACGGACATTCAAAAGTTCCAATATGATCAATTTATAAATGAGTGATCAACTGTAAATAAATTGATTATGTAGGGGGAATTAAATATCGTGAAGCGCATCTGCAAACGATTACAATAAAAGCTAGATAAATGTTGAGCACTGCACAGTCCCAAGGCAATGAGTGTTAAATGGAAGGAACTATGAATTCGACTTTAGTATCTAATGTATTCCACAATCGACAGTTTCACACAACAAATCGTGATGTAATAAGCTAGGCATTTGCGATGCTTGGGATCTCGGCCGATGTTAAACTATGACTGTGGCCTCGCTTGTCACGTTAGGAAGAGTTTACGCAATCTTTGATAAATTGTTTGTAAGAAGTTTATTGGACTGTGCTCCTTAAATTCGAGCATTCAACAACAATAGTGAGCTAAAGACTGGCATCAAGGACCGAAATAATTCACGCTATTGACGAAGCGTGTCCTACATTGGCTATTTCTGCACAGAAACATTTTTCCATGTTGGAAATTGGTACTCTTTTAAACACCTGAACAGCTCCAGTTCAGTTGTGGATTATTTAGCTTTAAGTAACACCAATAAACGCTTTCAATTTACCTATAGTCGCTTAGAAAATTGATGCTGAATAACGAAATTAGGATGATCGCTTTAAGTTTGGTTTACCTGTAACGCCATTTCAGGACGAGCAGCTGTTCTTGTTGATTAGATCGTCCGGTTGAGCCTACTTTACATCTGCAGTCTCCCTGGCTCTGCTGCTGCAGTCTCCAGTATGACGCGAGAGTTGATCGAATGAGGGGTAGGCCGTTGCGTTCTATAAAACAAGGTCAAGTTCACTCGTTTATCATGTGTTTGCTTGTTGTGTTGACACTTGACAAAAAACGTTACGGTTTATAGTTCTGCTTCTGAGCTGTGTGATTGTCACTTCATATTTGGTATTGGCTTATCAAGAATTATATATATCTTCATACAAAAAAAAATGACAGATTACAACGCCAAGATTACACGTGTGCACCGGATCGTTTGTCCATTCACAGCATTGACCGCGATGACGAATTGTGAAGATTTCTCAATTAGGCTATGGTAGAAAGTCGAAATCTAACTATTTGTTGGCATTTATCAGGTCATATAAATAATTATGTTGAACACTTGAAACTAGAAGTTATTTATTTTTTTAATAACTTTAACTACCTACTGGGTTACTCCCGCAAAAATCTCTTCTTAGATATTTTTTTCAAACGGGAAAGCTGGTTTTACAGGCGTGAAGTGTCAAATATCAAAATATAAATTGGCATCATATTCAGAATCAATGTATTTTCCGAACGATAAAAAAATTTTAGTAACAGATCACTAGGATAAGGTACAAATGTTGAAAACGACAGTAGCGAAACCTGTCGATCTAATGCCTAGCCACCGAATGTTTATTTGACATACGCATAAATGGAAATACCTATTGATTAGTGGTGACACGTTCATGATTTCATTGATTTGTGGCCATTATGGCCGAGCATCCATTGTAGTGTCGTGATGCCGAGAGTACGGAAATTTTTACAATATAGTCTGTGTCGGGGGGATTTTGGGTGAACGGCTTTTATTTCAGAAACAAATAAATATTTTTGTAAGCTAGTCTAGTGTAAAATCATTTTCTTATAATGTCAGATATTTGTGTGATAATGATGTTATTTTATTTGAAGAGCCCGTACAAGCTGTTTCATGTTTGGTGTGGTCATTGTAAATCACTAAATGGCGCCTAAAATTTTAATGCTACTATTGTACATTTATCGGATTAATTTGACTACACTTACTACACAATTTTACTGTAAATTAAACGAAAAATCTCAGATTTGCCGCATACATTTAAGATTCATCTAGGTTGAATTTTCGATTAACCTTTTTACGTCGTTGAATGCTGGCTATGTTATAACTTTTTTAGCGCTATGTTTTCAACCTAACCAGGACCGTCCTAATTTATATATAGGTGCAATGAAATTTATTCGGATGTTTTTTTTACTTATTCTGATTTACCGATTAAAACTTACTATATACGAAGTGTTAATCTACGAGCGGCTTCGATTCTGTGTCACCCATTAGCTTCGTGTTGATTGGTTTTTGTTCCAGCAATTCTTATATCTGACAAAATTAAAATATTTGTTCCGATCAAATTTTACACATCACATAGTTTACATATAGGGACTTATTCATTTTGTCATGGCGAAAACTGGCGTTGGTCCGCATGGAGTGTCATAATCAGTGGCAGAGATGATAATAACTTAGAATAATCATAATTTAGAAGCAGAGAGATCAGCGATGGCTACAAAGGAGACCTCGTTAACGAACCCCTCATGCTCGGCACGTTCACGGAGCACTGATGACGACACGCAAGCTCTTGGCAACCATGGTGAAGTGGACATGGGTGATCACAACGCCAACTCTACTAAACTGGGTAATTTTTTTACTTCTTGTCATTTTAGCCGGGATTTATCTTAATGAATTAATTATTGTGGTTCACATATGAAGCTAAAATTGTGCTTTATAATCATTTCGTCTCTTACAGGCTTAACTAAGTAAAAGAAGGTTGAAGGTCTTGAAATTTATTGACAGACTATAGCAAGGTCGTAAGCTTACCGCAACCTAATCACTAGCGACCACTACACGCTGAACCCAGTGAAAACCGAAAGCTTATCGCCATCTTACTACTGGAGGCAAGAGATCGTCGTAAGCGATCACTGCAAGAGATCGTCGTAAGCGATCACCGCAAGAGATCGTCGTAAGCGATCACCGTGTGCTTCTGCCGTGGGCTTGTGGTGCTCCCGCCGTGGGCCTGTGGTGCTCCTGCCGTGGGCTTGTGGTGCTCCTGCCGTGGGCTTGTGGTGCTCCTGCCGTGGGTTGTGGTGCTCCTGCCGTGGGCTTGGGGTGCTCCTGCCGTGGTCTTGTGGTGCTCTTGCCGTGGGCCTGTGGTGCTCCCGCCGTTGGCTTGTGGTGCTTTTGCCGTGGGCTTATTGTGCTGCACCGCAAGCCCAAGCGGTTAATTCGATCTTTGCGGTTAGATTGCGGTGCCCCAACACTTAGCCTGTTACAAAAGTGAAAAATAGAGTGGAACATTGTATGTAAGCTTTCATTCACCATCAAACAAACGTGGAGTAAAGAGAGTAGATTAATAAGTGTTAAAATGACCAGACGGAAGTGTAAAATGTTAAGATCTTGCAGCCGTAAGCACGCTGCATTTTTTTGGAAGCTCACCGCAAGATCATCGCAATCTCATTGCACGGGCACAAAAGTTTCACCCTAACGGCACCGTAATATCACTGCTACGGAACGGCAATATCATCGCAAGGGTGTGCACTGCAATCATTTCGCGAACCGCAATATCACTGCTACGGAACGGCAATATCATGCAAGAGATCGTCGTAAGCGATCACCGCAAGAGATCGTCGTAAGCGATCACTGCAAGAGATCGTCGTAAGCGATCACTGCAAGAGATCAACGCAAAAGTTGTTACATGCTCTTCAAACGAATAGCTAATTTTGACGCTAATCACGAGCATTCTTCAAGCTCATCAAAAGCTCGCTTCAAGCAACAGCTCAAGTACTCATGCTAATCGCAAGCATTCATCAATCAACATCGAGCTATCTTCGAGCTAATCAAGAGCATTCATCAAACTAACCACAAGTATTCTTTAACCTAACCACCAGTTATTCTTCAAACTCACTGCTAGCCATTTAATAAAATATCACTTGAACCAATACAGCTAAAAAATTGTTTTTAAAATTAAATAACATTCATGTTTACAACAATTAATTGGAATTTTTTCTATCCTTAAAGCCTCGTGTAATCTAATTAAACTACGCAACCAAAATACTATCGTCCGATTGAAATGCCTGTGGTTCAGAATATTGCATTGAATCTATGACTAAATCATGTTTTTTATATCGCACCTTCTAATAATTAACGGGGCCATAACACATTCATTGCCTGCGATGGGCTTGTGGTGCTCTTGCCGTGGGCTTGTGGTGCTCCTGCCGTGGGCTTGTGGTGCTCCAGCCGTGGGCTTGTGGTGCTCCTGCCGTGGGCTTGGGGTGCTTCTGCCGTGTAATATCACTGCTACGGAACGGCAATATCATCGCAAGGGTGTGCACTGCAATCATTTCGCGAACCGCAATATCACTGCTACGGAACGGCAATATCATCGCAAGGGTGTGCACTGCAATCATTTCGCGAACCGCAATATCACTGCTACGGAACGGCAATCTCATCGTAAGGGTGTGCACTGCAACCATTTCTCGAACTCGCCGAGACCGTAAATCGCTAATCTCGCAATCATCTAAAACCTCTTGATCATCACAGATATCCCGGTCATCGCAAATCTCCCAATCATCGCACTACTATCAATCACTAGGATTCGCCTGCCATTTTATCTGCAAGTTTTAGGAAGAAGTTGCGTCGCAGATTTGTTACCGCGACAGCCGCTGCGCCAGCCGATCGATGTGTGTTGGGATAAGCTTGTATTGATGATTATCACGACGATAAATCCAACGCTGAATTTATTGTGCGCTTGCTCGAAACTATCGATGGTCGTGTTGTATATACAATTGAAGCTGTAAGTGTATTGAAATATTAATGGTTTTCTGATGAAGGAAACCATGATGAAGGGAACACAGAAGTGAGGCAACAGCGAATGTGAGGCCGATAGCATGGAAGTGAAAGCGATAGCGTGCAAGTGATGGAAACATCGTGAATGTGAATTCAATAGCGTGAGAGTGAAGGTGACAGAAGCCCACAGGCCCGCAGGCTGGGAGGTCAGGGCGCCTTTAAAGAGGACGAATTCTACCTGCCCACTCCCTCTGTCACACCCACCACGCCCCCTGCCGCACCCACCACGTCCCCTGCCGCACCCACCACGCCCCCTGCCGCACCCACCACGTCCCCTGCCGCACCCACCACGCCCCCTGCTGCAATCAGCACTCCCTTCGACCAACACGCCACTCTCCCTTCCTCATCCCTCATCCCTCTGCTATAGTACCAATCGCCGCAACCTCTGCTGCATTGCGTGCACAGCACACTGGACGTTATTTGGGCAATGCAGTGCCTACAAAGCAGACTGGGCCCATGCAATGCATGCACAGCCCACTGGACGTTCAGGGCCCCTCACTGAGGACCTCTCCTTGCAGGTGGTGGGCCGACGCGGCGTCTGGCGGACCTTCTGAGCGACGCGGGGCGCTTTGCCTACTGCGGGCTGGTGACCACCGCCCTGCAGCAGCTCTTCACCGACACACAATCAGACACAGAGTTCGCTGAGCACTCCCTGCAGCACATGCTGCAGCACCTGGCCCTTCCCAAGACAGTGAGTTGTGCCTGCTGCTGCACCTGGCCCTTCCCAAGACAGTGAGTTGTGCCTGCTGCTGCACCTGGCCCTTCCCAAGAAGGTGAGTTGTGCCTGCTGCAGCACCTGGCCCTTCCCAAGACGGTGAGTTGTGCCTGCTGCAGCACCTGGCCCTTCCCATGTGAGTTGTGCCTGCCGCAGCACCTGGCCCTTCCCAAGACGGTGAGTTGTGCCTGCTGTAGCACCTGGCCCTTCCCAGGACAGTGAGTTGTGCCTGCTGCAACACTTGGCACACACTCTTCGTCCTCACACGTTGGAACTCAAATGTCACGTCGCCCTCAGGTCGCCGACGTGATGGAGGTGACGTTGTCGGGGGGCTGCGGCACAGGCAGCGAGGTAGGCTACCGCGAGCTGCTGAAGGAGGAGCCTGTGCTGCAGCGCTCGGCCGTGCCCCTGGTGCAGGACCTCGTCATCCTGGCGGTGCAGAGCGGTGGGTTCTCAATTTTTTGGGTCTTCGGCGGTGGCTAATTTCTTAATTTGTACTTAATGCTCCTTCAGTCAATTAGTGAACATTTTTATTTGTACGTTTGTATAGGACAATATTAGGCGCGTAGGTATTTTATTTATACGATATGTGTGATGAAAAAGAAATAAACGAAAAATGGCGAAAATTCACCAATACAAGAAAAAATACGATGAAACACTTTCCATTATCTTTCTTAGTGGAAGCAATTGATAAGTGATTACAAGTTAAGTATTCCGTGCAATGACATGCATGATAAAAGTAACTATAGGTCTTTTTACTGTTCTAGAGAAAGTTTTTTAACTAGTTATTCGAATAGCTAGTCAAAAAGGTCACGCAACAAAAGAACTGCATTCATTTCTGTTCTGAAAACACATTAATTACTTGATAATTTACCTGCTGGAGAATGAGACGTTTGACGTAAACGCGTAGGGAGGTTCTTTTTGCCACTCTTAGCTGCGAATTATATAATGTTAGCAAGCCACATTATTATTATAAATTATACATCATTATACATGTTAGCAAGCCAAATAATTATTATACGTATATGTTATATATAATTATATATAATGTTAGACCTTCTGCTGACATTCTCTCGCGCTCTCACGATTATTCCTCGCATCTTTGTAATTTGTTTGTCTCTTCCATGCCACGCAGGAATATTGCTGGGTGAGTGGTGTGTTCGATGACGAAGAATATTTATCAACACATTTTTTAATGATTAAAAAATCCAGTATTAAATTTTGTGTTTTTTTATATACCATTACGCACGCAGCCGTAGTAATCTCATACTGATGTCATTCACATTTCGTACGTTGCCGTTTTCTTAAATGAGGAACGTAATAATTTGTACACACTACATAAACTACGCGTACATGTGACTGATGTATGTCTCTCACAGATGCTGCGTCGCTTGTGACTGACGCGTGTCTCTCACAGATGCTACATCGCTTGTGACTGACGCGTGTCTCTCACAGATGCTACGTCGCTTGTGACTGACGCGTGTCTCTCACAGATGCTACGTCGCTTGTGACTGACGCGTGTCTCTCACAGGTGCTACGTCGCTTGTGACTGACGCGTGTCTCTCACAGATGCAACGTCGCTTATGACTGACGCGTGTCTCACAGATGCTACGTCGCTTGTGACTGACGCGTGTCTCTCACAGATGCAACGTCGCTTGTGACTGACGCGTGTCTCTCACAGATGCAACGTCGCTTGTGACTGACGTGTTTCTTCCCCACAGGGAGCTACGATGCGCGCACGCGTGTGCTCATCGGTCACGTGTCTGTTCAGATGCGCGTGCCTCTTGACGTCATGGAGATGCTGGAGGAGAGCGTGCATGAGTACCTCACAGAAGAAGCCCTTCCTACATCTCCGTCAGTAGCGGTGTCTTTCTCTTCCAACCCTCGTCTTAAGTTTTGCTTCTCTCCCGCGCAGTACACGTAGACACCTTTCACGTGCATGCAATACTCACTGATACCCCATCTGCGATCAGTACCCAGTAACTCTCAGTACCCCCACGTACAGGTAGTCTCTTCTCATACCCAATTTTTAGGCAGTTCCAACCAACTCTACACCCAACTCTCTACTGCTGGCGGTTCCCATTAACTTCCCCCCCCCGTATCCGCAGGGCCCACTAAGCCTCCCTCTATCAGCCCAACACTACCATCACCCTAACACCTAACACCCCCACCACCTCCTGCCCCACAGAGAGGAGGCAGCGCGGCAGCAGACAGCGCAGCGGCACGCCAAGTACCGACGCTACACGATGATCGGTCTCGCCACCCTCGGCGGGGGGGCCGTGCTGGGGCTCACGGGGGGGCTTGCCGCGCCATTTATAGGCGCCGGGCTTGGAAGCCTCCTGGGGGCAGGTCTGACTTACCGTGGAATGACTATTGACTCAGACTTGCCTTGAGTCAAGAGTCGGAATTATTATTGGAATGACTTTTGACTCACAATGAGCCAAAAGTCGGAATTATTAGCGGGAGTCTTTTTAGTCTTGGGGTTATTAGCGGAAGTAACTTCTTTAGTTACCGGTACTCGATAAATAAATCTTTGTAACTTGGAGATAAATTCACCCATATTTGTACATAATTCTTCACTTCTTAGTTACCGGTACTCGATAAATCGTAACTGAGAGATAAATTCGCCCACATTTGTATATAATTCTTCTTTGATAATGGACAAACTATCAGTAGTATAAAGATACCGATACGACGTTGTATTTTAACTTGTGTTTTATTAACTTCTGGTTACAGTGAAAACTTTTGTGGTTACAAGTTTATTTTCTTATAATCTGTGTTTGTTGCGTCATGACGTACGGGTATTACAGGCACCATCACCGCGTTCTCCTCGACCGCGGGGGTGGCCGTCGTGGGGTCTCTCTTCGGGGCGGCGGGGGCGGGCCTGACAGGTGAGAACCGCGTCACCTCCGTACACGTTGTCGTCTCAGTCTATGATATATTACTATTATCAGAGCTGGGCAGCGCTACTATGAAATGTAGCGGGCGCTACCGCTACATGCTCTAAATGTAGCGGGACCTACCGCTACCGCTACAGTGCCTTAAATATAGCGCCGCTATCGCTACTGAAATTGTAGCGACTGGCGACTGCTAGTATCGGGCGCTACATGTAGCACGCTACTGCCCACCTCTGACTATTACAGTATCTATTTTCACTGTTCTACTATGTGTTTTTGTAATAGTCTGTGATGATTCCTTTCTTGTCAGTGTGGTTGCGGTGTTTTGTTTTTTCTTATTTCTGGCTTTGTTTGTAATGTTGCTGATCATATTTTTCGCAGTCTGTGATATTACTTTTACAGTATATATCTATTTTTACTGTTCTAATATGTGTTTTTGTACTAGTCTGTGATAATTCTTTTCTTGTCTGTGTGGTTGCGGTTTTTTTTTGTTTCTGGGTTTGTTTGTAATGTTGCTAATCTTGTTTTTTTTTTTAAATTACTTGGAATAACCAAGTAACAAAGCTGTGTCAGGAGTGGTCGTGTGAAGCAGCTAATACACGAAACATGTGTGGTATTTATATAAACTTTTGTGCCTCAATAAAAAAGTGCGTCGCAACTTTGAAAAAATACCATTCATTTCAATGAGTGTAGATGACTGTAATGGTCTATTGATTCGTGTATTGTATTGTATTCCTGCGAGTTATCTCATTTTTCATGCGATTTCATGCATGGGTTTTAAGCACTTATAGGAGATTGAGTTTTTTATATAGAATTTATTATTTCCCATCAGTAACTAAAATCACGTTCTTTAATTAGACACTCAAACACTCAAGTACAAACAAAGAAGATCCTTAAAATTTAATATTATCAGTAGTAGCTAATATCATGCTCTTTAATTTGACATTCAAGTACAAACAAAGGAGATCCGATAGATCATATTCCTGCGCACAGGTTTCAAGATGAAGAAGAGGGTCGGCGAAGTCGAGGAGTTTGAGTTCGAGGAGCTGACGGTGGGCACTTCGCTGCACGTCACCATCGCCGTGTCAGGCTGGCTGAGCAAGGACATGCCAACCTTCACTGAGCCCTGGGCCACTCTTCACCATTCCCGCGAGCAGGTGCAATTAATCTTTAATTTAGATAAGCCAAACATGTTAGCTAGCAAGGACATGCCAACCTTCACCGAGCCCTGGGCCACGCTTCACCATTCCCGCGAGCAGGTGCAATTAGTCTTCAATCTTTAATTTAAGCCAACATATTAGCTAGCAAGGACATGCCAACCTTCACCGAGCCCTGGGCCACGCTCCATCATTCCCGCGAGCAGGTGCTATTAATTTTTAATTTAAGCTAACATAGATTTATTTAACATAGTGTATAATTAATTAACTTTATTAATTAATTAGCTTATTAATTATTTATTAATTAATTAGCTTTATTTAACATAGGGTATATTGTTAATTATCGTTGTTATTCTTGCACTTAAGATTTGTGGACAAAAACTTTTACGTTGTTCAGATTCGTACGTCTGGGTTAAGATTTTGTGCCGTCATGATTTATAGTAGTCACGTCCTCGCAATAAACATATGCATTTACAAGTATTCAGCATGATTTAAGGTACCAGAGTAATGTGAGTACCTACCCGGGTTATCCCTTCGACAGTAATTACTAAATCATACCGCATTCGTCCCAGCTGCCAATTAGTTAAGTTCTTAAATGGCGTCCAGTCCTTTTTGCTTACGGTATTATATCCCTTGAAATGTTCTTGTTTTCACGAACTTGTTTCGCCGTGAACTGTCAGAGCTCTGCTTTTTCCATCAATCAACGCGTTCCAATGATTCACAATTGGTCTATGGGAACGTAAGGCAATCGGCTGTCCTGCAGGCAGCTACTGACTGAAACTTATAAAACAAACAGAGCTTGTCCGCATTGTCTTCAAAAGCTCGCTTCTGATGATATTTTTCGCCTTAAATTTTCGTCCAGATTCTCGAAAATGAGAAGTTTGTTGTACTTAAATATGAACAATGCTATATCTTTCATTATCTCTATTATTTGATAATTCTCTAGAATTCTCTGTTATTTGATAATTCTCTAGAATTCTCTATTATTTGTTAATACGATGAACATAATTTAGTTCAATAAATTTGCACAGTACGCGCTGCGCTACGAGTCCAAGTACCTGGCTGAGCTGGGCAACACGCTCGACTATTTGCTGCAGTTCGCCTTCTCCATGGCAGTGCAGGAGTCGCTCAAGTACACCGTGCTGGCCGGTGGGATATTGTGTGGTCCTGAATTTGGACCCCATTTGTTAATGGATTAGATTTGTAAACCTTTTTAACAAGAACCTATGGAAACTATATAATGCCTATTGAGATAGATGCTGAATTTGGCATGTGTTCAAATTTGATTGAAGAAATATTGTCTCTAAAGTGCAGACTGTCTACTAGCTTTTGAGAATTATCTACAAAATCTTTTATAATGGATGAAATGCATGATGAAAATAAAATTAAAGGCTGAAGGATTACGATTCTTGTACTGAACGAAGCCATTCTCTAATTAATGAGTTAACTTCAGGCATCATCAGTGCCGTGGTGTGGCCGGCATCACTTGTCACGTTGGCTTCCATCATTGACAACCCTTGGGGAGTTTGCTGTCGGCGCTCCGCTCAGGCACGTATTCTCTGCTGTGCATCCCCTACAGCATAGTGACATAGTGTCAAACTGTCATAGCAGAGACTTTTTTCTGGTCTCTTCCACTAGTTCCTTTTTCTTATGAGTTCTATAACTTATAAGCAGAGCAGTTAAGTATAATAGATACCAGCATTATCATACATAAGAAATTAGTTTAAATCTTGAGTAGATGAGGAAGATTAAAATGAATGGATTTTTAAAAAATCTGTGGTTTGTCACTATGCGCCTCCAGGGCCTATACTTTCAAAAAAGTTAAGAGATCGTAAGTTCATCAGCCAATCATTGACGGCCTTTCAAACAAATCCACCAATCATAGACAAGAAATTAGAGCATGAGTACTTACGTTCACTTAGCCAGTTTTGAAAGTATGGGCCCAGGTTACAGGCACACGAGGTTTGTTTGAGTACCTGCCACGGTCACGCTGATGCACCACCTTCGACGCCGGGACATGTTCTCCTAAGCGACACTTAAGAACACTTAAGAACGTTTATTAACACGTTTAACGTTTATAACACTGATGATATAGTGAATCTGCAATTCAATGGTTGACCGATCGCAGTGTTGCTTGCCGACTACGCTACAGTGGCGTCTATGAAGCCCATTCATTGCTTATCACACTACTTGGTCATCACACTCGTCCATCACTCTCATCACACATTAGTTCATCCTGCAATTATGGCTTGCGAAAGACGCACGTGTGTTCCCAGAAAAAGTGTTATGAAATGTCGATAATTCTCGCGAAACGTTATATCATACGAGTGTATTTATGGCTGTTCTTTCGGTATAAATGTGATGCTAAATGTAATTATATATTCTCTCCAAGCAATAAAAACCGTTTTAAACCCGTAGACCTCTCTACTTCTTGGCCCATGAAGTATCTCTTTGAATAGCTACCATAAAATGAACGCAGTTAAAATATGCTGTTATAAACAGAATACAAATACAACTTAATATTTTAAGCAGTCTGTGTTACATATTTATGCAATATCATATTATTAAATCTACCTGCAAAAACTACAGTTACTTTGTGCTACTGTTATCACTGAAGGTCATTCTTCTTTGCCGCCGCGTGTAATGTTATACTTTACTGACGGTTCTACTATTTATTGATTACCATTTACATTTATCATTACTTAAACATTTATTCACTAGTATTATTAGCGCATTTTCTCATTTATGGAAAAAAATGCACTATTATGCTCGCCATGTCCGTCTGTCCGTCCGTCCGTCCGTCCGTCCGTCCGTCCGTGACTTCACGTTTTAGTCGACGAGAAAATACGCTTTCTCACTCACTGCAGTGAGTACTGAGTTATATTATTTCTACTATTTATTGATCACCATTTTCATTTATTATAACGTAAACATTTATTCACTAATATTATTTTCTTCAATATTACTGCATTTGTGCAGGTGGGGCGGCAGCTGGCGACGGTGCTGCTGCAGCGGGAACACGGACGCCGGCCGGTCACTCTGGTGGGCTTCTCGCTCGGCGCCAGGGTCATCTACTACTGCCTGGAGGTTGTTGTTGTGTTGTTGTTGTGGTTCCCCGGTCTCATTTTTATAAGAGACCTTCCTAGCGCAAGTACGACGCCACCGACAGTGGGTCGCTCCAGAGCTGTAGGGTCGAGGTTATGTGGTGGTGTTGTCTGAGGTCCTGCCAGAGCGGACATTCCAGGAGAATGTGAGTGATTGTGTGGGGAGCTCTCTGGCAGGATGGGCAGATGTCTGTGTCTGCTTGGCCTATTCTGTTTGCGTATGTTTGTAGTGAGGGGTGGTGGCCGCAGCGCAGCCTGGCTAGGTGTACTCTCTCCAGTCTAGAGAGCTGTGTTTCTGTGCTGCTTATGTCAGGTGGTGGGTGCCCAAGGACTTTGTTGTTGCCGGCCAGCTCCAGTGTTCTAAGTGTCATAATTGTGTGTAAGTGTTTTTTTTTTGTGCTGGTGTTGCCTTGGGTTGGGGGAACTGTGTTTAGTATGTTAGTGTAGTATCTGTGTGGGGTTTGCGCTATTTGTCTGCGTGTAGGTGGGTGGTCGCGTAGCTAGTGGCATGTGTGTTCTGTGTTGTTTATGGCTGCGGCTATGAACTGTGTTCCTCTCATGTCGAGGTGTGCTTTTATGGGAAGTATTTTTGTTTCTGCGTGAAGGTGTTCTATGGGGGTGCTTTGTGTGCAGCCTGTAATCATCCTGAGTGCTTTATTTTGTAGTGTTTGTAGTTTCTGTATGTTGGTGTTGGATAGTGCGGGCGCCCAGGCGGGGCTGGCATAAGCCAGCACTGTTCTGATGAACTGTTTGTATGTTGATGCTAGTGTTTCTTTGTTTTTGCCGAATTTTGTACCGCCTAGGGCCCGAAGTGAGTTGAGTCTGATGTTTGCGTTGTTCACTCTGTTGTTAATGTGAGGGCCGAATGTCATGGAGGTGTTGTAAGTGACCCCTAATATTTTTGTTTCGTGTGTGTGCGGGATCGGGGTGTTGTTTAATGTGATATTTGGTCTGTATTGGTGCTCCTTTGTCTGGCTGGTCATTAATGTGTTTGCGGATTTACTAGGAGCAACCTTGAGTCTGTTCAGTGTGAGCCATTGTGATAAAGTGTTGAGATATGTTTGTGCTTGTAGAGTACATATGTCTGCGGATGGGTGCGTGGATGTTATTGTGACGTCGTCTGCGTTACGAGGCAATGTGGATGTTTGGAGGTGGTTCGGGTATGTCGTGCATGTATAAGTTGAAGAGTGAGGGTGATAGGACGGAGCCCTGTGGGACTCCGTTGGGTATGAGTGATGTGTGTGATGACTTGCCTGAGTATAGTGTACTTATGCTTGTCTGCCTGATAGGTAATTGGCAAGCCAGCGTTTGTTGTTGTTGTGTAGTGTGGTGTTGTAAATTTTGTTTGTGAGAGGGAGGCGAGGGATGGCATCAAAGGTTTACTGATGTCTATTGTAAGCAGTAGGTAGTGTTCTGTGTGCGTGTGCGGGTTTGCGGGAGTTGATGCCATCGTTTATGCTTTGAGTGAGGTTTGTGAGTAGTGTTGTGGTCGAGTGGTGAGGTCTGAATCCGTGTTGTGTTGGAGAAAGTGTAATGTGCGGAGTGGCTGTGTTCAGTATGAGGCGCACTACGACTTTTGCTGGTGTACAGAGGAGTATGATTGGTCTGTATGAGGCGGCCTCAGTGGGTGGTTTGTTGGGTTAGAGAAGTGTGATTATTTTGCCAATTTTCCAGATGTATGGTATTTTGGAATGTGAGTAAGAGAAGTTGGCAATGTTTGTAAGTGTCGTGATTCCGTGTGGGCCAAGGTGTTTAAGGTGTATGTTTGTAATGTTGTCGGGCCCAGCAGCGGAAGAGTTTTTAATTCGTTGTATGACCTATTGGTGTCGTTTGTAGTGGCTAGGGTAGCTGTTGGGTCTAGTGGAAATTATTGTTTGCGTCTGATGATGCGTCTGTCTTCTTTGTATTTGGGTAACCTACTTATGTTTGCGTAGTGTTGTATTAGGATGTTTGCTTGTGCTTGTCTGGTGGGGATGTTGTCTGTATTGGTGGTGATTGCTGCGTGGGTGTGTTCTTGTTTGCTGTTCGAGTTGTGTAAGCTGCGTATTGTTCTGTAAAGATGTGTAATGTTGGTTTTGTGGTTCAGTGTATCCAAGAACTCGAGCCAAGCCCGTTGCTGTTGCTCTGTGATTTTGTTCTGAATTTCTGCGTTTAGTTCCTGGATTTCTCGAGATTTCTCAACACTCCATTGGTGAGTGAGTGAGGGGTGGGTGTTTGTCTGAGATTGTTGCGTTGACGGATGAAGCTGGCTATCTCAGGTGTAAAGTTAGGGTTGTGTTGTTTTCTGTTGCCCTTTGGTATGTGTTTCTTGTCAGCCTCTTGGATGATTTTGTTGAATTGGGCAACAGTGTGGTCAATGTTTGTGATTGGGAGTAGGTTCAGGTGTTCAAATTTTACTTCTGTCTCATGTTTGAATTCCTCCCAGTGTGCGCGTTTGAAGTTGTTGTGTGTTTTGCGTGGTAGTGTGTTGTTTGTTTTGGATTGTGTTTTAATGATGATGGGTAGGTGGTCTGAACTTGTGTCTGTTACTGTACTCCATGTAGTTGTGTTTGCTAGGTTTGGAGAGCAGAATGTTATGTCTGGGGAGGTGGCTTGTCTGTCTGCTTGGTATGGGATGTGAGTGTGTTGCTCTGTGTCATTGAGGATATAGAGTGTGTTAAGTTGTGTGGCTAAGTTTGTTCCTCTGTCATCTGCTCGTTGGTTGTTGTACCATCCTGGGTGCTTGGCGTTGAAGTCACCGCCCAGGATGATGTTGTTTTGTGTATCCAGGGCCTGTAGTGAGAATTGGTAGTTAGCAGGTAATCCTGGAGAGTTGTGTGGGGGAATGTAGGTGTTTATGAGTGTGAGGTTGGTGTTGTGGCCTGTCTGTACTCTAAGTGATTGAAGTTCAAGGTGTTGGTCTGCATTTATATGTATGAGACGCTCTCATGTATGTATGTGATGAGACCCCCGCCAGCTCCATGGGCTCTGTCTTGTCGCATTGTGGAGTAGGAAGGGATGTTGGGTGTTTTATGTCTGTGTTGTAGTTTTGTTTCTTGTATTAGTGCTATGTGTATGTTGTGCTTGATGCTGCCTGCAGGTGCTGGGCTTGGCAGTGAACACTTCATGGCAGTGAACACTCCATGGCAGTGAACACTTCATGGCAGTGAACACTCCATGGCAATGAACACTCCATGGCAGTGAACACTCCATGGCAGTGAACACTTCATGGCAGTGAACACTCCATGGCAATGAACACTCCATGGCAGTGAACACTCCATGGCAGTGAACACTCCATGGCAGTGAACACTCCATGGCANTGTATAAGAGACAGGGCCTATAGAGCCTCGCTGTCCCTGACGCCGACGTCTGGCCTCAGCCAACCATAGCCGCCGCTCTTTGACTCTCGGGCCTATAGAGCCTCGCTGTCCCTGACGCCGACGTCTGGCCTCAGCCAACCATAGCCGCCGCTCGTCGGCTCCCGGGCCTATAGGGCCTCACTGTCCCTGACGCCGACGTCTGGCCTCAGCCAACCATAGCCGCCGCTCGTCGGGTCCCCGGCCTGTAGAGCCTCACTGTCCTCGCCGCCGACGTCTGACCTCAGCCAACCATAGCCGCCGCTCTTTGGCTCCCGGGCCTATAGGGCCTCACTGTCCCTGACGCCGACGTCTGGCCTCAGCCAACCATAGCCGCCGCTCGTCGGCTCCCGGGCCTATAGGGCCTCACTGTCCCTGACGCCGACATCTGGCCTCAGCCAACAGGAGCCGCCAACCTCATCATATTTCTGTTGACCTTCTTTAATTTTGTTCGACTTGCGTTGCCATGAGGGCAGAAGTTATGAGAAGTGTGTGACATAGGGTCTCGTGGACCCCATGTCATATACTTCTACTATGGAGACCAGAACTCGTGTGTTTGTAGTATTGAGTTTAATCTGAAACTAAAAGCCGCTTTAGAATATACAAGTCGCCGAAAAGGAAGCACACAAGCGGTCTCGAGGTGGCCGCTATGTACGTTAACAAGCTTGGACTTTTCCAAACTTCATTATAATTTCGTTCATGGTTAGGACATGCAATCAATGCAATGTGATACTTGAATGAAACTTGACTGGTAAACCAATCTTGGGAGCATAAATCGCTTGGAGATGAGAAAGACCAAAATAAGGGCTCTTAAATGCCATTATAAACAAGTTTATGGGAACCCTTATTTTGCCCTTAAGGTGCTTGTACACGGGGACAGTGCAGGCGGCAAGTAGATCTGGCAAATGCCGGCCGCTTGGTAACTATCCGGCAAGTAAGCCTGAACACGAGGACTGTACGTATAAGGCGCCGATATCTTCTCGTTCGCGCCCGCCAGTGCGTCGTTAGAAGCCGTCGCGTGAGGTGTGTGAAGATGGATAGTAGGATCACCTTCAACATTTCGAGTCTGTACGTTGTTTTTATACTCTTTATTCTAGCCTTTAAAAATGCAACGTCGGGAACAACTAAACCTTGACTAATAAGGTCTTCTTTCAGTTTCAAAATACTTGTTTCTCTCTTCATTTTGTTTGAGTAACCAGCGCAAACATTCTACATTAATTCATATTTTTGGAATATCTCAAAGAAGAATTGAATATCGTCTGGATTCCACTTTGTTGGGTTCTTATTAGAACCATTATCGTTCAAACAAGCCATGATTCACTTGACCCAAGATACTTCACAAGAGCGGCACAGATGCTCTCACCATGGCTGCATCAGCGCTGCTAGCCACTTCTCCAGCGAAGAAAACATCACATCGTTGTCCAACTCGGCCGCGTCTCGGGCACTTGCCGGCGCATGCCTCTGAAGCGGCTGAACCCCTATACACGAGGCTAGTAGCGTGGACAGTTCAAGCGGCGGATGAACTGGCTGCCAGTATTGTCCCTGTGTACAGGCACCTATACACGAGGCTAGTAGCGTGGACAGTTCAAGCGGCGGATGAACTGGCGGCCAGTACCTGGACTAACCTCATTACTGCACTGCTTCATAATTGACATTCATTAGCAATTAATTAGTTGAATTACGTGAGTACTGTCCCCGTGTACAGGCACCTTTACGTACCGTCCTCCAGTTCTCTCTGCATGTAACATGCTGATCCTCTTTTATATAATCTTTTGAATCCTATTGCATAAAATCTGGCATATCCTATTGTATACCATCTTACATATCCTCTTGTATACCATCTGTCATATCCTCTTGTATACTATCTGACATATCCTCTTGTATACCATCTGTCATATCCTCTTGTATACCATCTGACATATCCTCTTGTATACCATCTGACATATCCTCTTGTATACCATCTGACATATCCTCTTGTAAACCATCTGACATATCCTATGGTGTATACTATCTGACATATCCTCTTGTATACCATCTGACATATCCTCTTGTATACCATCTGACATATCCTCCTGTATACCATCTGACATATCCTCTTATATACCATCTAAAATATCCATCTGTTTACCCTCCGTCCAACTCAGTTCTGTTTTCCCCTGCAAAACTTTCTTCCAAAGATCCTTCTATACCTCTTTCTTACACTATCCTCTTCTTCCGTATTTTCCTACTGAAGTCCTTACTCTCCCAGAATAAATTTTCTAATCAATTCGCTTCTCTAAGCCTTTTAATTACCAAGGGCTTGGAATTACCTTGGTAATAATAGGCTTGGAATTACCAATTCCAAGCCTATTAATTACCCACTTCCTTCTAGTGTCTTATTTTCCCGTATTCTAATCTTGTTAAATACCCATTTACTCATTATATTTTTTTCTCGCATCCTACACGCGTTAGTTACTCGCCTATTTACCCGTTTTATGCTTTTATTCATCGTAGTTATAATTGTACAAGGTGCTATATTTCTGCTTGCAAATATAGACTATTGGTTTGAATGTACAATTAAGTCAAATTTAGCTCTCGGACATAATTCCTTGTGAAAATATAACCAGCGAAATTCGAGCAGATTTTAATGCATTTCGCCAACTGTAGCTTATCTCTGTAATTTTGAAAACATCTTTAATTGTATTATCCAGCTTCTAGTTGAAATGTCCGAATTTTTTAGCAGGTAATCAAAATGCCTCAATTTTGGCGATCTTTGAATACGTATCGTTACATTCATCACACCTAAACTACGGGTCTTCAGAGCTGGGCAGTATATACGTTTAATGCATTAAGTAATAAGGACATTTGCCAATAGCATTAAATAGTAATATTCTAATAAAAATGTGTACACAGATTAGAATAAGATTACTTGAAGATATGAGATCAACGTTCTTTCCGACTGAAGAAAATACCTCAAACGAAATAAAATTAAGTGTCTTCCATCAGCACTTTGGAAGTATTACGCAGCATCAATAGTTTCTAATTTATTAAAGTTTTCTCCTTGTTAGTTTTACTTATAGAGACTCTCAAGTTGTGTAAGGCAATGGGCCATTCTGTGCTTGAAGACTTAGTCCTGCCGACGTGTGAAGATAGTTGAACCATGCACAGTATTCATCACCATCGGTTACTGTGACATGGTTATCGCCGCATTATCTTTTTAGCGCATTTTCTCATTAATGGAAAAATACACTATTGTGCTCGCCATGTCCGTCTGTCTGTCTGTCCGTCTGTCTGTCTGTCTGTCCGTCCGTCCGTGAACTCAAGTTTTCGTCGACGAGAAAATGCGCTCTCAGTCACTCACTGCAGTGAGTACTGAGTTATATTTTTCAAGTCTGTTGTTCTTGACAAACATTGCCAAACCATCATTTTTTTATGTCAATGCTTGATGTATCAAAAGAGCCTTCGTTAACGTAGGTGCCTCCTGGTTAGTAAATTTTATTTAAATATCTTTTGAGATACTATAGATTTATATTGAAAAAATTTGTTGAATACAATAAAATATTTGCTCTCAAATACTATATTTAGAAATGTTCAGATGGTGCTAGTTGCGTAATCGAACATTATTGGACTAACCAAGCTTTGCTTGTGGTCATATTTTCGAGGCTGGGACGGCATTGAATGTTAATAGAATATGTCAGCCCGCGAAATTTTGACCTAGAATTTCTCAGGAACTATTCGTAATTTGCCGAACCAAAAAATTTGTTGCAAATTCTCCACGTGCTTTCGTTGGATGATCAAAATTTGAGGCAACGTGAAACCTTGTCATTCAGTGTTAGTTGTATAGCTCGTGATCTCATTAGTCACATAGCATCTAGGTGATAACAAAAATACGTTTCATCCGAAAAAGTTCCTACAATGCAACTTTACTAACCATAAAACCATATTAACCTCGAGCCATGATAATGAATGCCCTGTAATCTCTTTCTGACGTTCTTGTTCCTAGTCTCTGGGTAACGTAACACAGAGATAAGTAATATAATTTAGTCTCTTTGTAACGTAACTATGAGATACGTAATATATTTTAGTCTCTGTGCAACGTAACTCTGAGATGCGTAATATATTTTAGTCTCTGTGTAACGTAACTCTGAGATGCGTAATATATTTTAGTCTCTGTGTAACGTAACTCTGAGATACGTAATATATTTTAGTCTCTTTGTAACGTAACTCTGAGGTACGTAATATATTTTAGTCTCTGTGCAACGTAACTTTGAGATGCGTAATATATTTTAGTCTCTGTGTAACGTAACTCCTGTCTCTTATACACATCTAGATGTGTAGTGAACACTTCATGACAGTGAACACTTCATGGCAGTGAACACTCTATGGCAGTGAACACTCTATGGCAGTGTACACTCCATGGCAGTGAACACTCTATGGCAGTGAAGACTTCATGACAGTGTACACTCCATGGCAGTGAACACTTCATGGCAGTGAACACTCTATGGCAGTGAACACTCTATGGCAGTGAACACTCTATGGCAATGAACACTCCATGGCAGTGAACACTCTATGGCAATGTACACTTCATGGCAATGAACACTTGTTATATTCATTAAAATATAATCGTATAAGAACTTCTCTCACTGGTCCGGTTCCTCCGTCAGGAGTTGGCACAGCGCAAGAACAGCGCTGGAATCGTCCAGGACGTCATCCTGCTGGGCGCGCCGGTCACTGCTTGTCCTACGAACTGGAAGCCTTTTGGTAACTTTACTATGTTGAAGTATTAAAACATGGCTTCTGTATAGGAAAGGATCAATAGCTTAGGCTGATCATGTTTGTAAAGAATTTGTGTGGCTGTCAGACAGGGCAGAAGCAGGCTAATTGTCAATGAAATGAATTGTAAAAGTTAGGGTTTATTCCCATGCCTTGGTCTTCGCATTCGTCTTCTTTTGGTATGGCTCCTTTCTCTTAATTTTGTTATGGCTCCTTGCATACAGTTTTCCTGCGTTTATTAACCCTCTAAAGGCGCCTTTACGCATATATAATATTAGCCGCTATTACTAGCGGCAAGTGATGATGCGCGGAAACTAGCGGAAACTTCGATAATGCAGGAATAATCTTTAGAACGACGAAATTTACAGCTGAAGAGAATAAAACCTAAATTTTCCAATAAATGGGCGGAATAATGAAAAACTTGGTTTTTATTTACTATTAACAAGCGGATGGTAGTACTGTAATAGATAAGTTGTTACGTTACTTCAATATTTGTTTGATAAACTACTAAGGTTCTAATCTCTTTTCAGTCGACGTATTGATTAGAATACTTATGCTATACCATTATATCCTATTATAACATTGAATATTATAATATACATTTTGACCGAATAATTAATCAATTAAGGTTTTTATTCGGCATCAAAGACACCATTACGTCCGTTTTCCCTTGAAGCTATTTATGCAAATTATACTAAATTGATAGACGGCACTTCATTGAATTGGTAAAATTGTTCGTCTTGAAACCGCAGGTACCGTTGTGTCTGGCCGTATCATCAACGGCTACTGCCAGAAAGACTGGCTGCTGCACTTTTTGTATCGCACCTCTTCTGCCGAACTCCACATTGCCGGCCTGGAACCTGTCAAGTGGATCGACAGACGCATGTTTAATTTTGACCTTTCAGATATTGTCTCAGGTCAGATTTTTATATAGGTATTATACTACGTCGGAATGTTTTTTGTGTCACAAGTTTTGTTTTACCACGGCATTGTTGCCGAGCGCCAGACCGTAGTGCCCCTAGCATCTGACCGCGGGTCGAAATCTTGGAGCTAAGTTGTGGGGCTGAGTTGTGGGGTTAAGATATGAGGTTGAGTTGGAGGGCTAAGTTGTAGGGTTAAGATATGAAGTTAGAGGGCTAAGTTATGGGCTAAGATGTGAGGTTAACTTGTGGGGTTGAGTTGTTAGTTGAAGTGGTTATGTAGGCAGGATTTTTCTCACTTTCTCGTGTGGGTGGCCGACAGTTATCGCTTGATACGAGCGCCTCCTTTACCATAGCTCATCTATTTTCTCTGAGGTGTTGAAGCTGCTTCATTTTATCCTGCTTAGTGAGCAGGTCACTATACATTCCAGCACTGGCCAGTGGCAATTTTGTTATTAGGAAAAAAGTGCCGATGAAGACTGCATTCGTCGTGGCGAAAAATGTTTTCATATTTTCGTCCTGAGACGACTTCCTCTGAATTGTCTTGAATTTCGGTACCATATTTTACTATACTCAATCGCAATGTGATATAGTGCCTTGTTAATTAATATGAAATGTTAGTTGCTGCTACGGTAACTTGATGACATTTATAACGAGGCATCGAATAATAATTCATACCTTACTTTGTTCGTTGTTTCGTTTCATTTTGTGCCTCATATGTGATGATCTACGTTTCATATAATATGATGTTATTTGATGATTCTTTCTCTATGTCTCTATTCTATGCCTCAAAGTATTTGATGTATTATGTGAGTCGTAACCTCATATTATTCGATATTTCATTACTCAGATTATACCTCTTCTTAGTCGAAACCTGACCCATGTGCACTGTACGCTGTACAGGCTATATATATACATGAAATGTTATTGTAACGCATGTAGCCATTCTCCGTAATGTTACTTGAGACCTAAATCGCATTATTAGGATGCAAACGTATCGACGTTAGTACACGTAAATGTCGATTTCTCATTTTGATTGGTGGGTTTAGCATGAAAAGTTTTCAGTGATTGGCTAACGTAGTTACGAACTCTCAACTATATCTGATGTTACGGCCAGTGAACTTGTGCAGGCCACATGGATTACGCGAACAAGCTGGAGCAAATCCTGCGTACATTGGGCCTACGCACCCGCGACGCCTCCCGCGCCGACGCCGGCCTGAAGAAAAGCGCAACTTTTTCCCCCAGCGCCACCGAGTTTGATAAGGTCAGGTGCTGAGCGTTACGTCTGATACCTTAACAGCGGTGTTTGATAAGGTCAGGTGCTGAGCGTTACGTCTGATACCTTAACAGCGGTGTTTGATAAGGTCCGGTGCTGTGTGTTACGTCTGATACCTTAACAGCGGTGTTTGATAAGGTCAGGTGCTGAGCGTTGCAACGTCTGATACCTTAACAGCGGTGTTTGATAAGGTCAGGTGCTGAGTGGTTTGATAAGGTCAGGAGATAGCTATCAGACGCGTTACGTCTGATAGCTATCACCGGCGTAATTATGTGTGTGATGTTTCATGTTTATTGACGTTTCGTGTTTTTGTTTATTTTAATACATTTTGAAATAGTTGGCTCCATTTCATTGAAGATATTAGTAGTTTCAAATATTTCCCCTTCTTGTTTCTTTTGTGTAATTTATTTTTTTTTATTTATGCTGTTTTTTCCCTACCCCGCACACACGGTATCCATGCACACGACCTTTGATTTGTTGAATCTTCAGATCCGAAACTCAAGACGTGCACAAGAAGATGCTGTTCTGAAGGTACGACATTACTTGTTTTTATTTCGACTATTTATATCTCTGCTGCTTTACTCTCAGTTTATTCCCGTTGTTATCTTTGTTTGTTCTATTCACTTTAAAATTTATTCGATATACGGGTATTTGGCGTAAAACTCATGTGTAATAAATTCATTGCACTTTAGTGATCAAGATTTTTCTTCCGCTCAAAATGAAACTGATGGGTGTGCGTTGTAATGTATTGTTAGCCGGTTATATTTATTATAGTTTTTAGCTGAAAAATAATTGACATGAGGTGACAGAAGATAGTTGACATGCTTAATGAACATTGTATAGTTGTGAAAAGGGGTCCAATAATTTCCAACCAAGTGACAAATATCTTGAAATAGCTATTGGCCATTGGAGTATCTAAAAGAAATCAGTAGGACAGTAGCTGACAGATACATCTATTATAATTTATTTATGATAACATTCTGTAAAATCAAGTTAAGACAAAAGCAGCCCGCATGATATGAGTTGAACCGACTGACGTCATCAAGAATCGATGTGTTGAACTTTTTCTGTCGACAGCCTCTGCGTCGGAGTTTCTCCGAGCCCGCGCTCCATCGCCCACACTCGCCGCCCTTCGGTCGGCGGGCCAAACGGGCCTCGCTGTCCTCGACGCCGACGTCTGGCCTCATCCAACCATAGCCGCCGCTCGTCGGGTCCCGGGCCTATAGAGCCTCGCTGTCCCTGACGCCGACGTCTGGCCTCAGCCAACCATAGCCGCCGCTCGTCGGCTCCCGGGCCTATAGAGCCTCACTGTCCTCGAGGCCGTCGTCTGGCCCTGTCTCTTATACACATCTAGATGTGTATAAGAGACAGATTTTAGTCTCTTTGTAACGTAACTCTGAGGTACGTAATACCGTATATTTCAGTCTCTGGGTAACGTAACTATGATATACGCTATACCAGATGGTAGGTACAGAGCCCTTCTCTACCATTACCTGAACATTTGTTTGATATCATTTCATGAAATGTTGTGTATAATTTATTTCTCATTTCGCTACTTTTCGATGATTGATTAGCTCTTTCATCACCAACTCTAATCGCTCAGTATGTAGTCTTGCTCCTGCTTTGTAGCAATGCATTGCGAATTGTCATTAGGGTTCAATCGATGGAATATTATATTATATATATATATGTGTGTATTTGTTAATAGAGTGCACTTGTAATAAAAATATTATTTTTAGATAAATAAACTTTGCACCACATTAATAATTGTCTTTTTCCTGTCGTGAAAGTGATGACAAATTTATTTCCGAGTTTCATGTTTTTTTCTACTCTTTTAAGAGGCCTGTATATACAATTATCAATTCCGATGCTTGACTTATCGGCAGGTAAAAAATTGAAATGTGACGAAAAACGTAAACACATTTTTTCTGCTGTAACTGGAATGTTTTTATCTTAGCATTGTCTGGCAGGGGACGTCTATAATCCTAAACCAAGGTATATATTCATTTGCCTTATGAACTTTGCGAGATGAGGCCGCAGAATTGTTTAGATTCTCAGTATACATGTGCCTCTGTATCGCTTTCTCGAAATCAATCTCCAAGCAATGCTTCTCTTACATAACGCAAACCCCTTTGCCCGTCATGTCTCTAGTCACTGTTCAATAGCTCAATTTACGGGAATCATTCATTGGTAGCGCGATCAATGGAAGTGATACCTGCAGTAAGCATCCGTCCGTATCCTTCACGAACTATCACCGCAGTCCTGACGACCATATTGTTTTGCGTAACCGTACCGACCTAACCTAAGTCAATGGTTACTGGGTCTCTGCGGCCGTCTTTTCGTAGTCGCTCTGCCTGCTACAAGGCTGTATTTTCGTCTCGATGCTTGTCTCACGGTAGGCTTGGTCGTCCAGTTAATAACGGACGCACTGAGGAATAGTTGCTGTGACCTCGCTTGTTTGAAGTTCTTAGCCAGGTACCGCCGCTTCGAAGCCGCTACTGGCTCCAATTAAGTGACCAAAGCGTCGGGTGATACTTGTTGTGATGTGTCCGTAATTTGAAATATTTTATTATGAACTTTTATAATCGCAACGAGTATTGCTTCTTGTTTTGTTCCACGTCTAAATCACGGCCGGCGCTGTCGTAGCGATTTTTTCGTTTACACATGGGAATTTCGAAGAGAGCGTGCATGCTTTCGTAACTTATAGAATGTTAACAGCCTTACACAGAAGTCGTAATTTTATCTGAATCTTGATGATTTTCACGGCTGATGTACCTGTAAAGAGCCGTGGGAGTTACCCACACTTTGTTGCATGAACAACCAATTGAAGATTGCTCATCTTAGGCCAAACGTTGACGCCATACGCCCATCACTAAAAGCTTGGGCGTTTTTCTCGCGCCGAGTTAGCAGCCGTTCGATGGGAACAAACTCGTTCTCACACTTCCGTAGACTTGCATTCTGCCCACGTACAGCACTAGCTCTTCTATGAATTTCATTGTTGACTTAAGCGCTCTAATTTTACACTGCCATTAACACTGGAGAAAATTTTACTTCTGTAAAAATATAAAAGTTTTAATGAATATTTCTTTTAGTTGCGTATTATTTATACGCAATAACAAGTCAGATGATTTTGAATTACTAACTACACGCATTTATTCTCTTATTCCTAAATTTATATATTAATAACAAATAGATTGATATATAATCTGTTTAAATATTCTCTATGAAATTCAGATTACTAATGCAAAAAATGGAACAGTATAACCAAATGCTAACCTATTATGCGCAATTTGCATTTTTATACATATTTTCGTAGTCAAACTATCTAGACTTTGTTCAAATTGTCAATTGACATTAAATGTCAGAGAACTTCAGTAAAATATAAAATAAAAATTGAATTCGAACTCAAATTTGACATGCTTCAGCAATAAAATATTAAAGTAAACAGGTGATCAAACATCGAGATATAGTCGGTTTAATGCGATGTTCATATGTTGGAATTATAAAAGGCATTAAAGAGTGGATTGTCAACCTAATAACCTCGCAAATAGAGGCGACTTCCAACTGGCTTGTTTACCTGGAATTTTATTAAATCAGTCTATAGGCTGAACGCTGTTTTTCAGACGTATTCAAGATAGCGCAATTGTTTCCGCATGTCGATCTGGCTTAGCTGAGAATCTCTAAAATATCGTTAAATGCGGCCTCTGGATCTATAATATTTCTAACTATTTTAGTAAATTATCTTAAATTTTTATAAATTGAGCAAAGCTCGTGTCTAAACTAGGTAATTAGGTACATACGTGACCGATAACTGCAAATGAACTGGGATCTGGTGATATGTTGATTTTGCAACTGCGCAATGACTGTGATAACCTTATCTATAGATTCAGTCATTCTTGAAGTAATTACTAAACCATGAACTGTTGCCAACAAACTTGCATCTTCACCAAACTCGACAAATATGCCAATTTTTCACCTGCGCAGTCTTTACAATTATTAAAATTAGGTTTAAAATTAATATCTATCTCATATATGATGGAAATTCAAGTTTATTGTTTTCGACAGTTATCGGCTAAGTAACAAATTTAGTAACAGATGAAATTTACATACTTGACATTATTAGTCACTGCGCAGGTGCAAAAATAACAGATTTCACGAGTTGGATAGAGGTCTCAGTTCAATGGCGATAGTTAATGGTTCAATGCCTAATTCAGCTACCGAAGAAGCTGTCATGCCTGAAATTTTCACAGTTACTGAACAGGTGCAAAAACAATAACAAAGTTTGCACCTGTTCAAAATAACAAAAAATAACAAAAAGTTTGTTGGAAGCCTAATTTAATTCGCAACAGTTATCGGAAAAATACCTTCTTCAGAGATTACTATACAAGAAAATCCAATAAAGAACCGACAGGAGACTTAAACAAGAAACAACTGAAATGATCTTCAAGAAATTCATACAGCGATTGTGTCATTGTGAAATGCAGAAATTCCTCGAGTTGATTCAAAAATTCCTCGAGTTAAGACACAATTCTAAGTCTAATTGCCGCATTTATTGGCACGAAACCTGAGTCTGAAAAAACGGACCTGCCATTCATGATGTTAATACAGCAAATCTACTGTTGTAAAGTTAATAATTTTTTGTTTCAGGGGATATCTTGAGTCGATTAACACACTAATTGGCAAGGAATCGAATTCAGAGGGACTGATCTGACACTTACGAAATTGATTCAGCTCATGTGTCCTTAGATACTGAATAAATTTCTATTTATAAGGAATGTTTGATTTAATTCACAAGCTTAAATTCACCGTCATTAACGGGGTATGGTCTATTCGTTGGAAAAATTCGAACTAACTGTTCTAGTAATAGAGTTTTCTCTTGGAATACTCGATGGTGAAGTAAATAGAAAAAATCACGAATTTGAATCGTATGACGAGGTACTAATGTAGCATTATCACGGTAGTATTATTCACTTAAGTGTTCTTTATTTTACATTATTTATCAATTGGCTAGGCGTTTCGTCGGCAGCTAGACAGTTCCTCATCAAACGATAGGTCGGACCTCACCATTACATGCAGGTACTACCATGGTTGAACCACTAGTACATAGTTCAACCATGGGTACTACAGTCTACAATCGAGATTACTGAGCACACATTCGCTGGCAGCCGTTGCTGTTAGGCTAAGTCCACTCGTCCATATTGACCGATTAACTTAGCGCAAAGTTTAAACTTGTGTTGGTCCGCTGAGGCTTTGGTCTTCAACTTCCATAAGATCGATGAGATTTCCAAAGCCGTCTGGAAAACGTGATTCAGTGGAGCGAAACTCACAACGTTTCAGAGAGACTCTAGCCACTGTTCCCCTTGTGTAATGTTCACCTTAATGAGAGTCGACAGGAATTGTTCAAAAACACTGCTTGATGGAGAAGGATGTTGTTCTGTTGTATTGTACATTCTTGTTTGGTGAGAATATCCTTAATTACCATTGATATTCTCTGTTCTGGCAAAGAAGTTTCTTGTTACTCCGTGAGTTGCAGGTTTGTTGATTTATAATTCTATCGCTCTACTTCCATTTCAATTTATCTTGTTGAACGACAGTAGAGCAAATCATTTCAATTTCTTGGATTCCAATCTAAAATAATAATTTCTGTGTAAACTTTTAGACAATTTGATGCAATCAGTGTGATTTCTTTGCTATAATGTTGTTATTATAACGAAGAATGTTTGCCGTTCGATATTGTTCGATCTTGTGTTGTTTCTGAAACACAAATTAGGTTCACTGCAGATTTTAGTTTTCACATGATGAATGCATTTGAACATTTCACAAGCGATCGATCTGCGTCCAACTTGTAATTAAAAAATTTCAGAGTCTCAGATTATGAATTTCACTGGGAAATTTGTGAAAAGTTACAATTGATTGTCATTTTACGAGTAATTTTAATTTTTTTAATATAACGTTATGAGAATTAAATTGCACGACATTCATTTTTGACCAAGTTATCCTATAATAATTCGTAATCCACTCGGACGGAATAAAAAATATGATAAATATTAGTTGTATTTAGCTCCCTCGGTACCGTGACTGAGCAATAATTATTAGTAAAATTAAATGTGGGACTTTCACAGTTACACGTAAATTGTCTGGAAATATGAGCAAACGCTGTCGTCTGTATATAACTTTTCAACGATGATATTGTTATTCGTGTTGAATCTTTCCCACTATTCAACGAGAAAGTCTCTGAAATTTGATTGGGTCCCATGATGATTCAAATAAAACCTCATTGTTTATTTTAATTATTCATCGCTGAAATAAATTTTAAAATAAG